GGTGCTGTCGGCAAGACTTGCCTCCTCACTCAGCTACACGACCAACAAGTTCCCCTCTGAATATGTCCCGACCGTCTTCGATAACTATGCCGTCACTGTCATGTGAGTCGCCCGCCCTCTTGATCTCGACATGGAATTCATGTGCACATGTGCTGGAGCACAATCCGATCACCGCCTGACGGGGCCGTGGCCTCGAGCCTGGCCTCGAGCAATCCCGATGGGCCCCGACCCCCACGTCGTCGGTCGAAATGAGACGCAAGTATCGGGCGAATCCTGTGCTGACAGGCTGCTTTTAGGATCGGTGACGAGCCCTACACCCTCGGCCTCTTCGATACCGCTGGTCAGGAAGATTACGACAGGCTGCGACCCCTCTCCTACCCGCAAACCGACGTCTTCCTCGTGTGCTTCAGCGTCACCTCGCCGGCATCATTTGAGAACGTCCGCGAGAAGTGGTTCCCCGAGGTCCGCCACCACTGCCCCGGCGTCCCTTGCCTCATCGTTGGTACACAGGCCGATCTGCGTGAGGACGACAGCGTTCGTGATAAGCTCGCGAAGCAGAAGATGCGACCCGTGCGGAAAGAGGATGCCGATCAGATGGTCAAGGATCTCGGTGCGGTCAAGTACGTCGAGTGCAGCGCTCTGACGCAGTACAAGCTCAAGGATGTGTTTGACGAGGTATGTCGTCTCCTCCGCTCGCGGCTATGACACAGGCTGCCGACAATTGACTGACTTTCTTTTCGCAGGCCATCGTTGCGGCGCTGGAACCCCCCGTCGTCAAGAAGAAGTCCAAATGTCTGCTGCTCTAGGCGTTGTTGTCATAGTCTCCAACGCTCGACACCACGACGAGAATCGTGCTGTCCCCTCTGGTAGCTTTGACAGCGTACCGACTATGGCCTTTGGCGTGCTGATGAGACCTTGACACGCGACAAAGGCGAGGCATGGCAACACAAAACGCATTGGCTTTCTGGCACTCGTTGCAGGTCCTGGATTTGCCCAGCACACGAGATCTCAGCAGGACCACAAATCAGACCTCGGCTCTGGTGGAGGGAACGGCCATGAGAGGAGACGCGGAGGATTCTCGCGGTCCGCCCGTATGCCTCGTATTGACGTGGAAGAAGAAGTCTTGACTTCTCCCGGCCCCTCACGCGGTCGGGCCGACCGGTCCAAGGTACACTCGATCGCATTTGGACTTTTCAGACGTTTGGGATTGGCAACTTTACAGATGCAGGCAGGGTTGCTTTTCATAGGACAGTTTGGCGACTGGAGTGCATTTAATCAATTGGTCATTTTTCACCACGCCGTCGGCGCGCGTACACACGTGCAGGTTGCAGTGGGACAGTGGTTGAACGTGGACAGGACCCCGTCGCTCCCGCCGACTTGTGCGTCGGCGTTGTCATCGTGATGCTGGTTCCTCGAGGGGTGTCTATCCAGGTTATCCATCCAATTTGGGTAAGGAAAAGGGGGAAAGCTCGGCGCTCAGAGGCGAGCCATTTGATGCCCCGGGCGTCCCAAGGGCATGGACCACGAGGGCGTGATGGAGGCTCTCCTCTGGCCCTGTTTTCCGGAACCATGTCACTCTGTCCCTGGTCAGCGTCGTCAGGGAGGCAGGCAGGCTTCCAATGAATATGAAACGTCTGCAGTCGGACCAGAGCAGAGGGGCACTTTCCCATCGGCCCCGCATCCGTTTTGCGCGCCCTTCAGACCCGCAAACAAATACTTTCTCTCTCTCTCTCTCTCTCTCTCTCTCTCTCAGCTTATCGACCAGGACATGAAGCCTTGCCACGGCATCGTGGACTTCCGAAGGCCTGAGTTCCGAAGACACCCTGAATAAAACAAAAGAAAAAGGAGGGGGGGGGAGGGGGGGTTCCTGGAAAGGGTGGGGATGATGAGGGTAGGGTAGGGTCTTGAAAGGGGGTTCGCACATGTCTCTGGAAGCGTGGGAGATCCCTGGATGTTCCAAGGGGGGAGGGGGGGTGAAGGGACCGTTGACGTTGTGCACGTGGTGTTGGTACCCCGGATTCTGCACTGAGACGGTACTCGGCGGGAAAAGCTGCAGAACGGAAATTTATTGTTTCTTGATATGATTTGACAGGAGAGATTCGTTCCGAAGGGGAAGGGGGGGGGGCTTGTTGTTGTTGACTGGTGGTTGCTTTCTGATTTGTGGTATTTGACATGACTGGGCACTGTGGATGCAAGACCTACCTACCTACTGCCTACCTACTTCGCCTACCTAAGGTACCTAAGGTAGGTAAAGTACCTCACCTTGAGGGCAGACACGCATCGTGGAACCGCCATTTCAGGCGGCGAGTAAAAGCCAGAGAGGCCTGGCAGAAGCCCGGGTGGCCGACCGGCTACGTGTCTTGGCCCCGGGCCGGAATAGTGCAGCTTATCACTGGAACAGCGACACCTCATTCGTTGCGTCCTGGGGGCCGAAGCCGCGACCATCGACGTTGAGCAGAAAAGAGTCCCCCCGCCCTACCCCGCGGAACCCGATGCGGAGTATCACACCGGTCAGCCGGTGTAGCTAGTATAATAAGATCTCTCAGTGGCTGTACTCGGTTTCGACTGCTTTCTGAGACGTCTCTCTTGTACCGACTTTGATCATCGAGCTGCATCTCATCATGAAGGGCTCGTCCATCACATCCATCTGCCTCTGGCTACTGAGCGCCTCGCTGTCGACGGCGTGTGCCCACGACCACGATGACGCCAAGGTGTGGTCCAAGGAGGAGCTGGAGGAGCTGGAGCGCAAGTGGGGGTTCGAGGTATGCACGCCCGCCATCACATGAAGCAAAATGACCGAGAGCTGACTTGTCCCAGTGGTGTAAGTCTACACAATGAAATGTGATCCGCGATGAGGCATCGGCCGAGACATGGTTCGCCGTCACTGACCATCCGTGCTCCCATAGCCTTCACCGGCATCGGTTCCTTCGCCCATCTCAAGTACACAAAGTGCTTGACGACGCCCTCGGAGCTCTACGATATCGCCATCATCGGCGTCCCCTTTGACACGGCCGTCAGCTACCGGCCCGGCGCCCGCTTCGGCCCCCGCGCCATCCGCCAGGCCTCGGCGCGCCAGACCTCCTTCCGGGGGTACAACCCGCGCGCGGGCATCAACCCGTACCAGAGCTGGGCGACCGTCGTCGACTGCGGTGACGTGCCATTACGCCCATGGACAACGGCATCGCCCTGCAGCAGATGACCGAGGCGTTCGCGGAGCTCGGGAAACGGCGGCCGCTCAGCTCTTCCATGAGGCGGCCAAAGCTCATGACGCTCGGCGGAGATCACAGTCTCGCTCTGCCGGCGCTGAGGGCCCTCAGGGAGATTTACGGGCAGCCGATCCGGGTGCTTCACTTTGACGGTATGCCGCCTTGGGTCACCTGGCCCGCGTCTTTCTCATGCGAATGGTACAAAGTAAAATCGAACAGATATGCTAACTTTCGACAGCTCACCTCGACACGTGGCACCCCTCCAAGTACCCCTCAGCCTGGGCGCCGACGCCCTTCAACCACGGCTCCATGTTCTGGCTCGCCGGCACCGAGGGCCTGCTGTCGAACGCGACGACGGGGCCCTCGGTGCACGCGGGCTTGCGCACGCGTCTCAGTGGCACCGACGCGTCGGACCACGACGATGACACGGCGCAGAACTGGGTGCGCATCTCGGCGGACGAGATGGATGATTTCGGCACAGCCGGCGTCATAACGCGCATCATGGAGACGCTCGGCACCGAAGACCCCGTCTACCTGTCCGTCGACATTGACGTGCTCGACCCGGCCTTTGCGCCGGGTACAGGGACGCCCGAGCCCGGCGGCTGGACCACGCGCGAGCTGATCCGCGTGCTGCGCGGCGTCGAGGGCCTCAACGTCGTCGGAGCCGACGTCGTCGAGGTGTCGCCTGCTTATCAGGGGAGCTGGGGAAGAGACGGCGCTCGCGGCGGCGCAGGTCGTCTACGAGGTCCTGAGCTCCATGGTCAAGAGGGGACTTGGCGAGATGGGTCGCGAGAGCGAGGTGCAGGGGGATGCGATTCAGGAAGATCTCAAGGATGAGCTGTAGACCTGGAAATATTGTTCGTAAGGCGGTCTGCCACGAATATATCCTAACAGCTTGCTTTCGAGTCGGGCATCTCTGTAGATGCAGATCTAGGGGCAATCGGCAAATATGGCTCAAACAGCGTCATGTTGTTTAACCACGAGCAGTGAAGCAAGGCAAGGGGAAGTGTCGTGACGATGTTGCGCCAATGTGATGTCGGGGGCTTATCAGCTTGGCCGTGTCTTATCTCGAAATGGACCCCTGCCCACACTGCTGGGTTCAACATTGGTAGATGAGATGGGAGTCAATTGAGCCCAGTGGTTGATGGAAAGTCCTTGTCAATGTGAAGATATCCTCCGATACATGACATTGGTGAGACGAGACACAGACAGTTTCTGTTGGAAAAGGAAGAATAGACACGCGGAAGGTAGCACCCGAGCAACAAGAGCAGCCAGGTAGATAAGGTACGGTGTCAGGGGAAGCTGTGACTCAGTGGACTTCCCCTAGGGAGGATACTCCGTGGTAGTCACTTCTCTGGCCGCCCACCAAAACCCCCACCACAAAAGCCCTCCGTCGCACCTGCCAGCTAAACACCACCTCGTCCAGTCCAATTACCCCGCCATCAACACATTGTCAAAAATTATTCCACCGCCTTCTCCCCCCCCCCAAAACATCCACATCATCTCACCCAAAGAGACAACCCCAGCTGACGCAGTCATCCCACGGAAACGAGTCCCCCGATCCGTCATCCGCGATTGGACCACCGGCCTAGGTCCAAGACATCCCACGATGGCTGCCATCCAGGACCTTGCCGAGCGCATCAAGCTCGACGATGACAAGGTCTACGTCGACACCGATGCCGGTCTCGACGAAGCTTCTGCCAACGGCTCCGACACCGCCCCCTACAAGTCCCTCGCCTACGCCTACGTCATCAACCACCACAAGCCCGCCGGCTCTCAGCAGTTCTTCATCCGCGCCTCCCAGACCGGCGCCGCCGACGAGGACCCCGCTGCCCGCCTCGAGTGGAAGGAGCCTGCTAAGAGCGCCGTCAAGAAGGCCCAGGCCGCTCTCGATGGCCACAGGAAGAAGCTCGTGAAGCAGGCCCAGCAGGAGGCCCAGCTCGAGGAGAAGCGCAAGCAGCGCGAGCAGACGCTCGAGAACGCCAAGAAGATTGTCCTGACGAAGCCCGACTGGCTCGCCGACGCCAAGAAAATCAAGCTCGGCAACAAGGATGTCAAGCTCGGTGAGGGCGAGACCAAGGGCGAGAAGGTCAAGATTGCCGGCCGTATCCACCGCCTGCGTGCCCAGAAGAATGCCACATTCATCACCCTGATCGATGGCTACGGCCACCTGCAGTGTGTTCTGCAGGCCGGCGACCTCACCAAGACATACGATGCGCTGCTCTTTGCCCAGGGCACCTCGCTGTATGTCTACGGTGAGATGCGCAAGGTTCTCGAGGGCCAGACGGCTCCCGACGGCCGCGAGCTGCTCGTCGAGTACTTTGAAGTCATAGGCGCCTCTCCCACCGACGAGGACGCCATCACCAACCGCGTCTCCTCCCAGCAGAACCAGTGGGACCCTGCCATGCTCGACCAGAGGCATCTCGTCCTGCGTGGTGACAACGCCTCCGCCATCATGAAGATCCGTGCTGCTGTCGAGTGGGCCTTTGTCAAAACCTTCAACGACATGAACATCACAAAGGTCTCGCCTCCTGCCCTCGTCCAGACCCAGGTCGAGGGTGGCTCGACCCTCTTCTCGGTTCCTTACTACGATGAGGCCGCCTACCTCACCCAGTCCTCCCAGCTGTACCTCGAGACGTGCCTGCCAAGCCTGGGTGATGTTTACTGTATCGAGAAATCCTTCCGTGCCGAGCGCAGTCTGACTCGTCGCCACTTGGCCGAGTACACCCACGTCGAGGCGGAGCTTGACTTTATCAGCTTTGAAGACCTGCTCGAGCATCTCGAGGAGATCATGTGCCGTGTCATCGATACTGTCCTTGCCGACCCCATCATCGCCGCCCACGTCAAGGAGCTCAACCCGACCTTTGAGCGCCCCGTCCGCCCGTTCAACCGCATGAAGTACACCGACGCCATCGACTGGCTCAACGCCCAGGACCCCCCTATCCTCAACGAGGAGGGCAAGCCCCACGTCTTCGGTGACGATATTGCTGAGGCCGCCGAGCGTCGCATGACCGACATTATCAACAAGCCCATCTTCCTCACCCACTTCCCCACCGAGATCAAGGCCTTCTACATGAAGAAGGACCCCAGCGACCCCCGCGTCACAGAGAGTGTCGACGTTCTCATGCCTGGTGTCGGCGAGATTGTCGGCGGATCGATGAGGATGGAGGGCTATGAGGAACTCATGGCTGCCTACGACAAGCAGGGCATCCCGTCCAAGGACTACTACTGGTACACTGACCAGCGCAAGTATGTTGCGGCCCTCTCCCCACCCACCCGACCCTTGTCCTTGCTAACACATCTCCAGGTACGGCACCTCCCCCCACGGCGGCTACGGCCTCGGCCTCGAGCGGTTCCTCGCCTGGCTGGCCAACCAGCACACCGTCCGCACAACATGCCTGTACCCCCGATACATGGGCCGATGCAAGCCTTAGATGCGGTACGGCGCGGGATGCCGCTGGACCTGTGGGATCTTGAAGGTACGCGGGGCTGAGCCGATGTTGGAACTAGTGAAAAAAGAAACGAGATCTTGATACCTCCCGTGCTGCGGCGGCGCTGGCTCCGTTGAGATGTGCCATGTCTGAGAGAAGTGTGATGAACAGGGCTGAACATGGTGTGCAACTGTTCGTTGGCCGGTACTTATTCCATGACCTGTCGTCTTTCGACACGAATTGTTCCATCAGATAGCCAATGGCTCTGCAGCTCGAGTCACGGTCCAAGAGAGTCAATGGATCAGACAGACCCAGGGGCTCAGCTTGAGGCCATCATATCTCGAGAACTTGACACGTTTAGTGTGTTGATCTAGACCCACACTTCAGCGGAGCCGGCGGGTGACCTATATGTGGACAATCAGCCAGTGCATCTATTTTGAGGGGATCTACTTGCATTCCACAACGGATACTATCCGGAGCAACATGGTCGATCTGAATAACGTTCCTTCGAGAGTGCACGGCAAGGCAGACTAGACACTGGATAGTGTAAATCATCTGAGAAAAGAGAATAAGTCCCTGACGAAGGCCTCGCGGCGGTAGGCCACCCATGCCGATGTCACAAGTTCGTCGTTCGTCCGGTAGGTGTGAGTGTTCCCAAAAATACGACCTCCCCATTGGCATTTCCATTTACATGGGGTGAGAACTATCCCCTATTTCCTGAATCATGACCGGCAGCCATAACATGACTTGGTCTGTGTGCTCCGCTCGCCTCTGAACTCAGAAAGACGTCTGCATTTCAAACATCCTCCACCCCCCCCCCTGTCTCACCAAAAGTAGAGCATGTATACTGTCCTGACTTAATCGTCACAAAAGCGACGGGGTGCCAGAAAGGCTACTACGCGCTCGCGCGTGATGAAAGAATACGGGGTCGCAGTACTCGGTCACGCACCCAGGACCGCCCTCACGTGCAACAGCAGCAGTCGCGATGCTAGGGATGCAGGGACAGAGTAACTCTTGAGCACGGGAGGAGAGAAGTGAACCGAACAAGAAAGGCAAGACGGACGATGATACTCGCCCCCCAAAGACTGCTCCGCCCACGTGAGGACGTCGATTTGATGCGCGGATGATCAAACCGGGGCGGGTTCCCCTTTTTGCTGGCGTGGGCTGGATACTACAGGGGGGGGGGTCAGATGCGGCGCGTGCATTTAGACGAAGGCACTGAATTTTGGGACGTTCGAGAGGGAGGCAAAAAGACAGAGCGAGAGAGCGAGAGAGCGAGAGAGATTGAGAGAAAACATGGGCCGGTTCACTCTAGATGGGGCCTTGGCTTTCCGAGACGAAGAAACACACCCCTGGGAAATGCAAGCGAAGCGAGATGCCCAGGTCCTTTCAACAGTAACCGACATGACGTGCTGATCTCTTTGGTGGATGCCGTTGACCCGTTCAGACAGGGGCGGTCGTCTGGTAGGCATGTCGACTATCGAATATCGTCTATCGAGCCATCGGAGCATTTGTTTCCTCGCAGCGGAGGGGACGAATGGGTGGGCGATCGGTCAGCCACGCCGCTGTCTGGATAGGGGTCGTATGACAACTTGGACAGCCTGGCATGCTTGGTGGAAACTAGGAGGATCAAGAGCCCAGCAAGCCTGGCAAGCCTAGGAGCCCACCCGCGGCAGAAGGGTGAACGACGCTTCAATGGCGCATTGAT